TAAATAAATAAATAAATAAATAAATCTTTAAAAAAAAAAAAAAGAAATGAGCAAAACAAAGGGAAATTTTTAAAGTTCCTGGCATGTCGTAAGCACAAGCCAGCCCTACCTTGGATTTGCAGCCCAAATATTTGACCCTGGTTGTCTCAAGAACTCAAGCCAAGAACTGAGTTTCAAGTAGTCTCTTTCTAATGTCCCCATGCATCAGGTAGAAATAAAAGTCTTATTTGGATGAATACACCTTCATCCTAGGCCTTACGAATTCCCACAAATAGGGGCGCCTGGGTGGCTCAGTCAATTAGACGTCAGTTCTTGATTTTGGCTCAGGTCATGATCTCAGGGTCATGGGATCAAGCCCCTCGTCAGGGTCCGCACTGAGCATGGGGTCTGCTTGGGATTCTCTCTCCCTCTGCCTCTGCCCCTCCCCCATTCACATTCTTTCTCTCAAATAAATAAATAGATCTTTTTTTAAAAAATCGAGAGAGCACAAGCAGGGGGAGTGGCGGAGGGAGAGGGAGAAGCAGGCTCTCCGCTGAACAGGGAGCCTGACACAGGGCTCAGTCCCAGGACCCTGGGATCATGACCTGAGCCAAAGGCAGATGCTTAACCGACTGAGTCACCCAGGTGTCCCTAAATAGATCTTAAAAAAAAAAAAGAAGAAAAGAATTCCCACAAATAATGATCAAATAAATAGGACATAGAGACAATGAAATACACAAAAAGAAGACACCATAAGCAATAACCATCAGAAACAACACAGTAAAAATCAACCTAAAGTTACTCCCAAATATTAGAATTATTGAAGATTATAATACAACTGTATTTGCTGTGCTTACACGATAAAAGACAAGCTTAGAAATATTTGAAAGGAAAAAGAAACTATAAATTGGCCATGAGGGTTTTAAAAAACTAAACCGAACATCTTGAAATAAAAAAAATAAAATAACTGAAACTTCAAATTATTAGTGTGAATAATTCTGTCAGCCACAATGAAGTAAAAGGAGCACAACTTACCCTCCCATTGTAAACAACCAGGCAACTGGACAAAATTTATAAAACAACTGTCTTCAGACATTAGATAACAGGCAGCACAAGACTTTGATCCCTGAAAGAAGGGAAACAAATGAGGTGTGCCATACAATGGCCCTGGTTTTCTGCCTGAAAGTACATTCTAGTCTGCAAAGCAGGGAAGAAGATTGCAAGCAAAGTATGGCAGTCTCACTGAGTTGAGGAAACAAAGGAGTTCAGAGAGGCTGAAGCAGCTGGGAGTTCCAAGGAAGGATTCTGGAGGACAGCCAGCTGGGAAGAAAAAGAAAAAGTTTACAAAGGGGTCCCCTTGAGTCTTTGCTGAATTTTAAGATGCACGGTGTGTAGGGTGAAAATCCACAAGGCCATGTAAAGAATAACTAGAAAATATCTAAGTTCTGGATGGGGTATTCAGTATGGATGCCAGGAGGGACATGCCTTAGCAATGGGTCTGAAGTATTTCTGGAGAAAAGACTACTCTCAACCCACTCTAATGAAGCTTAAAATCAAGACTCAAAAGGGTCAAAGTAAACCATAAGTAACACTGCCTGCTAGGAAAAAGCTCAATACTCAATGGAGGAAGGCAACAAAAGCCAGACACTCAAAAACATAAAATTAACAAAGTCCAGCATCCAGTCAAAAATTAGTAAACAAATGAAAAAGGAAAGACTATGACCTATAATCAGGAGTAAAATCAGTAAATAAAACAATAAATAGTGCAATAAATGACAGAGATGATGGAATTAGCAATCAGATATTAAAACAGCTATTAAAACTATGTTAAAGTATTTAAAGAAAAACATAAACCTAACAAGTAGGAAAAAAAAGATATAAAAAAACAACAACAGTGGGACTTCTGGAAATGAAAACTGTAATATCTGAAATGAAATATTCCTGGGGTGCCTGGGTAGCTTAGTCGGTTGAGTGTCTGGCTCTTGATTTGGGCTCAGGTCAGGATCTCCGGGTTGTGGGACTGAGCTCGGTGCTCAGCCGGCAGTTGGCTCCCTCCTTCTCCCTCTCCCTCTGCCCCTCCCTCTGCTCACGCGCGTGCTTTCAAATAAATACATCTTTTTAAAAAATTCCCCAGATGAGATTAACAGTAGATTAGATACTATAGAAGGAAATATCAATGAACCCAAATAAATAGCAAAAGAAATTAAACAAAAGGAAATACAGAGAAAAAATACTGAAAAAAGAAGACAGAAACTCAATGACTTGTAGGATAATACCAAATACCCTAAAATAAGTGATGTGCAACTGGAGTTCCAGGAAAAGAATGGGGGCGGGTGGATATTAAAAAAATATATTGGCCTATATTTTTTCTAATTTGATAAAAACTGTAAACCCTCAGTTCCAAGAAGCTCGATGAAGCCCAAACAGGATAAATAGAAAGAAAACTGAAAGACCTCTGATAGTAACATTCCTGAAAAACAGAAAATTTTTAAAGCAGCCTGGGAAAGAGTGAGACACATACAATGAAACAAAAATAAGAATGAATGCAGGAAAGCCATCAGAAAGTATAAAAGCAAGAGGACAAGAAATTACAGAAAAAACTGTCAAACCAAAATTATACACTGAAATATTCATTTCAGTGTATATTTCATAAAAAATACAAAAAGATATTTCATATATTCATATGGATATATGTTTCATAACTAAAGGTGAAGCAAAGACTTTCAGACAAACAAAAGTTGAGAGAATTCATTGCTGGCAGGTCTGCATTACAAAAAAATGCTAAAGGAAGTTCTTAAATGGAAGAAAAAGGATACCAGATGGAAGCCTGGATCTATACAAAGGAATAAACAGTGCTGGAAATGGGAAATATTTGGGTAAATATAAGACACATTTTTTCTCACTTAAATACTTCTTTTAAAGACATTGATTATTTAAAGCAAAAATAGTAGCAATGTATTATATTTATAATGTGCTGAGAAGAAAAATGTGTTAAAATAATACAAAGGACAGGAGGAGGGAATAGAAATACATTGTTGTAATGTTCTTAAATTTTGTGAGAAATTATTTATTATTATTTGAAAGAAGATGGTGATGAGTTAAAGATGTGTACTGTAATCTTTAGAACAATCACTGAACACATAAAACAAAGAGGTACAGGGAATGATGTGTACTGTAAGCTCTAGAACAATCACTGAACATATAAAACAAAGAGGTACAGGGTATAAGCCAAGAAAGGAGATAAAAATGGAATCCTAAAAATCTTTTTTAAAAACTCAATCTAATTAGAAAACAAGGAATAGAGTAACAAAGAAGAGATGGGACAAAAAGAAAAGAAGTACCAAAAGGGTAGACTTAAACATAATTCTACTGATAATTACAATAAACATAAATGGCTTAAACACTCTATCATACTGAATAAAAAATCAAGAAAGAACTATATATGCTGACTACAAGAACACAT